TTTTATTGATTTTGTATGATCTGTGTTTGAAGGAAGAAGTGCTAAAAATTGTTAAACTGCAACTCTTTTTACCTATCCACAGAGAACTTGTATTCCTTAAAGGGCATGAACTGCTGGGAATATCATCTGACATTCATCATACTGCACAAAGTTGAAAATTATGTACCATGTCCCTTTGGTCAATCCATGATGGGTTAATCTAATTTTATGTACATTGTCAAAAATTGGACTCAAGAAGGGCCCTTGGACCCCTGAAGAAGATTAAAAACTCATTGATTTTATACATAATCACGGCCAAGGCAACTCGCGAAACCTTCCAAAGAATGCTGGTAATTTTCTTTTCTTTGCACTTTGATGTATTAAATACGCACTTAAAGTTTTGCACATAAGATTGGACTTAATGTTACCATTATTTATTTATCTCTGTTGTAAGTGCAGGAGATAATGGTCATGTAAGATATCATTTCTTTATTGATCTCATTGTTGGTTTTTTTAATATTTGCAGATGCAACCAAAAAGAAAGTCAAAGCACGTGTCACGTGCTATTCATCCAAACTAAAGCAATGGAAGCTCATCTCTTCGTGGGCAACGACAACACTCTAATCAATTACACATTTTTGTCTCAACGCCTTCTATAGCTCAGCTTGATGTAAACTGCACAACTCAATCTAGCGTTGAAGTCATTATTTATATATTTAGCAAATAAATATTAGTCATTTAGGGTTATGTATTGACTATTAATACTTGAAATATGTGCAATACAATGTTACTTCTGTAGCAATGTTTCTTTTTAATTTTTATTTTTTTCGATTATCGAAATTGTTAATGTCAACTGTCTTTGGGGTTTTTGGAAATTGAAATATTGGATAAAATATTGTCATGAACAAAAAATATTGGATATCAAAAGATTGATATCAATGTTCACCGACCAAAGATTGGTTGCAAAAGGGTGTAAAATCAACCAATTTTCCTTTAGCGACCACAATTTGGTTGCTGGATGTTAACTATTAACGACCACAGTCTTAGTTGCCAAAGGCTGTAACATATTCAACCAAGAGATTGGTTGCAAAAGACGTTCACTACTATGAATCAACCCACCACGGTGGAACCTTTTAGCTACCAACTATTAGTCACTGTAAGATATATGTTATATATTTAGCGACCACGATATTGGTTGCAAAAGGTGTTCACTACGATGAATCAACCAACACGATTGAACCTTCTAGCAACCAACTATTGGTCACTGTAAGATACATATTTAGCGACCATAGTTTATTGGTCACTAGAAAGCTTCACCGATGGTGAATTATCGACCAGTCAGCGACCACAGTTATTTGGTCCCTGGAAAGGTTTGCCGACCAAAAAGTAACCTTTAGTGACCAATTTTTTTGGTCGCTAGATCCCATTTTTTTGTAGTGAGTATGAAATAATTAACAGTAGGAACCACAATCATACTTTATCACATAAAAAATTAACCAATAACTTCCACTCCAAAACCAACCCATAAAGTAATGTATAAAATCGACTCACTTTTCCACATAAGATACACAAATATACATATATATACGCACACATACGTACGTACATGTAATACCTTACTTCTTGGTTGTAGGTAACGTGAAAGTGGGTGCAAGAGTTAATGGGGTTCGGATCTGAGTTCTGAAGCACGTTATTCCAGTCGGACAATGAGAAATTCGATGGACTGTAAAATTTATGTAATTCATGTTTAGTAGACAAAATAAAATGTTGACTTTACCAATATAATTTAGCACAAACTGGAATTTATAACCAAATAAGTCATGTTTTAAAATCCGAAATAAAAGGTCCATATGACAATAAGACTTGTTGACCCCAAAAAATGAATTCAATAGATGTCGGCCCACTATTACCAAGTCAAGTGTGATTCAGACGTATTCTTACCAGAACAACGACGGTAAGTGGACGGAAAAGGACGCAAGAGGCACTTTACGGCGAGAGACAAAAATGTTCAAGCTTCGACGGTATGAAACGTAAGCGATTGCACTAACAACGATCGTCGGAAAGAAATTACGACAAGCTATGTTACACTCAACGAGAATGTGGAAGGATAGATAGAAAATGTGTATTAAGATCACTAGGTTGCTTCTAGTAATTTGTAAAGATGACCAACAGTAATTCTACAATGTCTTTGCCTAGAACATGTTATGCACTTCTACGAGTTCAAGTAGTAATGAAAGTTGGTAAGCTGAAATACCAATCCCTTCGAGAATTTCGAAGTTTTAATGAATAGTCATCTTAATTTTCCCTTCTTACTAAATCTCAATACACCTTTCATTAGTGCTACTTTTAGAAAAACTATCACTCACTTGAAATTTCAAATCCTTTCTTCTAACATCACTATAACGTTTTCGTCGATCATGTGTTGTCTTTATTCTGTCCCTGATCTTTTTGACCGTCTCAACTGTCTGTTCAATGATTTTAGGACCCAAAATTCTATTATCTCCCAGTTCGTCCTAATTGATAGGGGATCTACATTTTCTACCGTAGAGAGCTTCATATGGGGCCATGCCTTAGTCACTTGAAAGTTATTGTTGGAAGCAAACTCTACTAACGGCATATGTATTTCCCAACTACCACGAAGATCTAAAACACATGTCTTCAACATATCTCAAGAGTTAGAATGGTTCTTTCTATTGTCCATCTGTTTGTGGATGATAAGTAGTACAAAATTTCAATTTTGTTCCTATGGCTTCCTATAAGCTTTTACTAGATTTTGATGTGAACATCTGGTCTCTACTCGAGAAATAGTGTGATTTATGGGACTAGTTTGCAATGCAATCGATAACTTGAATTGTTAATGTTATCTAAAGCATTTTGGCATGAATGGACGTAGCACGAGATTGTGTATGCATTAGCATTATCAAATTTAGGATTGTGTTTAACATTAGATGATAATACAGGTGATTTGCTGACTGTAAGTGGGAAAGAGAATTGATTTACACCTCGTAGAAGCGCACACACACGACCAAAAAGGTAAGTGAAAATCCATTTGCAACTATGATGCAAGAGTATAGTATGGTAGTGTTGGAATATTTACATAGCTTTGATAAGGAGCCTTATTGTGTATCATTTGACGGTTATGATCAATGAGTATGTTACTCACAAGCATTTTCATGTGCATGCAAGGCATATGTCCATGGTTGAAAATCTAGCATACACAACATGATTGTAAAATTGAGCTTTTCTCATAAAATGTTTTATTAACCACTATAATGGCACCGAGGTATGTGATGCATGCTTATGTGATATATTTTGGCACAAAGGGTGACACTTTCTGGTTGATTACAAATGTCGATAAGGGATGCACCTTTGGTAGTCACGGAAGGATGGACAACTCGATTGTGCCTTTGTGATACTCTGATTATTTGCACTGCTGGGTGGGATACTTCTTGGGTGATCATAGGGGCAGTTAGGGGATGGGCCTCTAGTGGTCACAAGAGGATGATCCACTCACCGATGTAGATGTGAGATTAGCAATTTCATTATTGATTATTGATATTAAGATCGTATAGAGCTCTATCCAGTGCATAATAGGTAGGTCAATAGCACAATGAAAGATTTCAAATGAGATTAGTTCGAGTCGACTTTGATGACTATCTGAGCATGATACATCTTTAGTATATTGTTTAAAATAAATGGTATGGTGTCATATACTATTATCACTCATATTTATGACCTGCATGATTATCGCTTACTAACCATTGGCTTATGTAGTTCTTGCATTGTAGGTGTGTATGAAATTTCTTTGGAGACATGGCTGGCTATGGACCTCTTATGGGATTCCGAAGTTTTATGTACATGGAAGATGACCTGTAGGGTTATTTTGTGGACTCCAGTTGTATTATATTTTGAGATCCTGTATGACTTTTGAAATAGTATGTTAAGATTTTTATAATCGTAGGATAAATATGTTGGGTTATGATTTAATAGTCTTTAGTTCCAGATATACTTTCAGAGATGGCTACATTTAAAAAAAAGTGTAGGTGAATTTGGATGTCGAGTTCAAGTCACTAACGCTATTTCCACTCTAGTTAGTATACTGTAGGAATGGGGTGTGACACAAGTGGTATCAGAGCAAGGTTATAATTCTGTAGACTGTCCATACAGATCTCAGAGTACGAAAGAGCACAGCTAAGCCAGTAAGTTTTATTGTAATCATTTTGCATGCTTTATGAATAATATCGGCCAATACTTATTACAACTGTTTTATAAATAAATATCGCAGTCATGGTAAGAATAAGAGGCGAAGGCAATAGAGAAATTAGAACTCCAAGATAGGAAACAAGTGGTACAGATAATAGGGATGTGGTTAATGATAGACTTACGAAGTTGGTAGAGCGCCAGGCACAGTAAATTCAGCAATTGATGCAACAAAGAGAAAGGGGAGAACAACAAAGGGGTAAATTCGTGCAACCACTCCAAATAGCGGAACCCATTTAGGTAGTTAGGGAAAGATCTAGAAAATTAATCCTTCCAATATTTGAGGATGCATTAGACCCAACAGTAGCAGAGGATTGGTTGAGGTCTTTAGAAAACATGTTCAGATACAGTAGAGTCTTAAAAGTGGAGAAAGTGGTTTGTGCATCCTTTATGTTGCGAGATAGTGCTGGACATTGGTGGGAAACAATGAGTAGCTTTGAAGAGATAAATACCATGACTTGGGATAGATTTAAAAAGTTATTTTGTAATAAATGTTTTACAGCCCCAATTCGAGCCATGAAGATGAACGAATTTATATAGTTGAGACAAGAAGGAATAATAGTGGGAGATTATATTCGTAAGTTTGAACAATTATCTAGATTTATAGCCCATATGGTTAATACCGACGAGTTTAAAATAGAAAGATTTCTTGAAGGATTGAGGCCAAAATTATATAGAGATGTAAACATGGTAGGAGTCCCAAGGTATTCCATACTCACAAATAGCAGAGAGGGCATTAGTTGCAGAACAAAGAATAAGTCATGCTTAAGAGCCTCAACGATAGTTTAGAAAAGGTTAGGGACATCATTGGCCTAGAAATGAGAAGAAAAGAGCATTCTAGGGACAAATTTAGAGACACAAGTTTCAACCAAGGCAAGGACAGCAACAATGGGATCAGAGTAAGCGTCCAACGATAGATCAAGACAAAGCCTCAACAACACAAGCATCTTATCTCAGATGTGGTGGGCAGCACACGGGAGCATGTCCTACAAAGACTAGGACATGTTATGTTTGTGGAAAAATGGGACATCTTGTTAGTGCATGCTCAAGTAATCCCAATCCTATAGAGCAGAAGAAGGTACCAGCTAGGGTGTTTACCCTTACAAAATCGAATGCCGAGTCGAATCCGTCAGTTGTGACAGGTAAATTCTCTACCTTTGACATTCCAGCAATTATACTATTTAATTCTGGAGCTATGCATTCATTTGTGTCTACGGAGTATGTAAATAGGTTGGGTAGCATACCTGATGTAGAAGAAATAAGTTATTATGTGACTATTCCATCAGGAGAGGTCCAACAAACTAATTTGATTTTAAGACATGTATGATTCTTATAGAAAATCGAGAACTCTATGTAGATTTAATTGTGTTGGATATGAGGGATTATGATATTATTTTGGTGATAGATTGGTTATCAAAATATCAAGCTACTATAGATTGTAAGAAGAAGTCAGTAACCTTTCAACCTTCGGAAGTTGAACCATTCACATTCAATGGTATTGGAAAATATTTCAGATTCACAATTGTATCGGCGTTGAAAGCGCAAAGGTTACTAAATAGTGGGTGTGAAGGTTGTTTGGTAGGTGTCAGGGCGATTGATGCACAACATAATCTAAATCTTAATGATGTACTAGTAACCCAAGAGTTTCCCTAGGTATTTCCCGATGACTTACCTGGAATCCCACCGGATCGTGAAATTGAGCTTGTAATTGATTTAATTCCAGGAACATCTCCAATTTCCAAAGCCACATATAGAATGGCTCCAACTGAATTGAAAGAGTTAAAGTTACAATTACAAGAGTTGTTGGACAAAGGTTTTATTAGACCTAGCTTTTCACCATGGGGTGTACCAATATTATTTGTTCGGAAGAAGGATGGTACAATGAGGTTGTGTATAGATTATCAAGAATTGAATAAAGTAACAATTAAGAATAAATATCCATTATCGAGGATTGGTGATTTGTTTGACCAACTTCAGGGTGCAGTTATATTCTCGAAAATTGATTTGCGATCTAGATACCATCAATTGAAAATAAAGGAGGATGACATTCCTAAGACAGCATTTAGTACGAGATATGGTCATTATGAGTTTTTGGTGATGCCATTTGGGTTATCATACGCCCCAGTGACTTTTATGGATTTGATGAATCGAGTATTTAAACAATTTCTCGACAAGTTTGTGATTGTATTTATTGATGACATCCTTATTTATTCTTGTACTAGGGAAGAACATATTGAACATTTGAGGATAATACTTCAGGTGTTAAAAGACAAGCAGTTATATGCCAAGTTTGAAAAAATGTGAATTAAAGTTAGAAAGAGTCGTATTTTTAGGGCATGTAATATCAGGTGATGGCATATCAGTTAACCCAAGTAAAGCAGAGGTTATTAATAATTGGCCTCGTCCTACAAATCCTTCAGAAGTTCGGAGTTTTATGGGTTTAGCTGGATATTATCGTAGATTTAAGGATTTTCAAAAATAGCTTCTTCTTTAACGAAATTAACTAGAAAGGGTATGAAATTTGAATGGACAAATGCTTGTTATCAAAGTTTTCAGGAATTGAAGAAATGATTAACTTCGATCCCTATTCTTTCAATTCCATCTGGTATTGGAAACTTTGTGGTTTATAGTGATGCTTCCAAGAATAGTTAAGGTTGTTTATTGATGTAAAATGGTAAATTTATGGCATATGCATCTAGGCAACTTAAAGAATACGAAAAGAATTATGCTACACATGACTTGGAGCTTGCTGCCATTGTATTTGCACTTAAAATATGGAGGCATTAATTGTACGGGGAAATGTACGAGATTTATATTGATCACAAAAGTTTAAAATATTTGTTTACACAAAAAAGAATTAAATATAAGACAAAAAAGGTGGCTAGAGTTGGTAAAATATTATGATTGTATTATCAATTATCACCCTGATAAAACTAACGTTGTAGCTAATGCGTTGAGTAGAAAATCGATATCTAAGNGCGTTGGGTAGAAAATCGATATCTAAGGTTGCAACTATGAGTCTGGCTCAAAAACCAGTGTTGGTGGACTTACAAAAAATGAATATTGAAATGGTATCGCCAAAAATGGTGGAAGCCAAACTTTCAGCATTGACACTTCAGCCTACTTTATTAAATAAAATCTAGGAAGGACAACGGGAAGATGATTATTGTTCCAAGGTGAAGAATGATATACATGATGGAAAAGTTTCAGACTTTCAGATATCAAAAAATGGTATCTTGTAGTTTAGAGGGTGATTATATGTACCTGATGTAGAAAATATTCGAGGTGAGATTCTAGCTGAAGCACACACGACACCATATTATATTCATCTGGGTACTACTAAAATGTATATAGACTTGAAGTTGCATTATTTTTGGCCGAATATGAAAGGTAGGATAGCATAATATGTGGAACAATGTTTAACATGTCAACAGATAAAAGCAGAACGTTAAAGGCCGGCAGGAACCTTATAACCATTAACCATCTCGGAGTGGAAATGGGAGAGAATCATAATGAATTTTGTGGTGAAATTACCAAAAACGACTAAAGGATATGAAAGTATTTGGGTCATTGTAGATAGGTTGACTAAATCAACACATTTCATTCCAGTTTGTTCTACTTATTCCATAGATCGATATTCTCAACTTTATGTACAAGACATAGTTAGACTTCATGGAATGCCACTATCTATTATTTCAGACTGAGATTCTAAGTTTTTCTCTCTCTTTTGAAAAAGTTTACATAATGCTTTGGGAACAAAATTATCTTTCAACACGACTTATCATCTTCAGACCGATGGACAATCAGAAAGAACAATACAATATTGGAAGATATGTTGAGGGCTTGTGTATTAGATTTTCAAGGCCAATGGAGTAAATTTCTGCCTTTAGTGGAGTTTGCATACAACAATAGTTATTAGGCTACGATTGGAATGACTCCTTATGAAGCATTGTACGGTAGGAAATATAGATCTTCGATTTTTTGGGATGAGGTTGGAGAAAGGAAACTACTGGGACCATATATGGTTCGTGAAATGGTTGAGGTTGTGATGCAAATACGTCAGTAGATGCAAACGGCTCAAGACTGACAGAAAAGTTATGCAGATCAAAAAAGAAGAATAGTGGAATTTACAGTCGGAGACCAAGTATTTTTTAATGTAGCGCCACTGAAAGGAGTTATGCGATTTGGAAAGAAAGGAAAGCTAAGCCCAAGATATATTGGTCTTTTTCCTATTGTTGAAAGAATTGGAAATGTTGCCTACAAACTTGATCTTCCTTCATCAATGTCTCAGGTGCACAATGTCTTTCATGTATCCATACTAAGAAAATACATTGAAATTCCTTCTCATATATTGAAGAATGAATTGATGGAGATAAAACTAGATTTGACTTTTGAAGAAAAATCGGTGGAGATTCTTCAACAAGAGATAAAGCAGCCTAGAAGCAAGAAAATTCCATTGGTTAAGGTATTGTGGCGAAATCAGTCAACAAAAGAGGTCACTTGGGAAAGAGAAGATGAAATACGGGCTAAATATCCTGAACTTTTTGGTAAGCAAATTTCTAGGACGAATTTTTAAGGAGGGGAAGATGTAATACCTCAAACTTTACGTTACGTATTTGGCCATTATGATTCATGCATGCTATTTACAATGTCATTTGCATCCATTCCCCTAATTGCTTTCTTTTAAAATGGTATATGTGATTATTGAGAGCATAAGATCTTTATATGGTGTTAGCCTTCGACTCCTCGATCTAGGCGATAAATTTTATATTGAGCGATGATAGAGAAGCTAGGTAAATCTAGATGTGGAAGATTGACTTGTTACGCAATTGGAACCTTGAAAGGGCGGAATTAGTATCGATAATGGTTATAGCTTTCCATTCGGTTGATCAAGGTCACCATAAATTCTAAATGAGTAATTGACATATTTAGGACATGAAGCATGAAGTAACATGATCACTGCATAGCAATATGAGTTTTATATGACGTTATAAATGTTGAGGTGCGAATTGTTGAAATTGGCCAATAATCGGGTATTAATCGGGTAAGTAATTAAATGAACAGTTGAGGAAGTAATGCTATCAAATATTTTCAGATCTTAGGACAAGAAAATTGGATTGTAAACACATTAAAATAAGCCAAGGATACTTGATTTTTACATGCAATGATGTTTACAAATCAGATTATAACTCCAAGAGACCACCTCATGTTTAGTCACCTCCTATTTGTTGGTTTATCCTTTTAATCGTAAATTCCTTCACTCTTAAGCATTATACACGTCTACCACCTCTTTAAGATTTCAAATATGTGACTTATTATCCCTAAATTTCATACAAATAGTCGAAGGATTGGTACAAGATCAAAATGTAACTAGAAGGAGACACATCCTACTTAGCATGTGATGATTTGTCTTCTAAAGCCTTGTCACCTTATATTGGATAGATATATGTCTTATTAGTCACATAAGGATCCAAATATGGGAAATGAAGAGTCAAGTATGGCTGCAAAAAGCCACATCATGCTTGGAAGATACTTGTCATTTAACTACCAATTTCTTCATGCTTAAGTATCAAGCACGACAACAATCCTCCAGACTCTTTATATAGCCCCTAAATAGGACACTTAACCTGAAATTTTTCCTCAAGTTATCCCTAAGTGAAAGAGAAAACAAGAGAGCTAAGGAAAGACAGAAAACAGAAAGCTGGGAATTAGAAGATCTGGGCAGCTGAATTAGTATACTTTTGAGGTATATCTTTATTAGTTTTGAAAGTTTTATAACCTCTTGAATCTCTATACTTGATTGAGATCATGTTGGGGGGTGTTTTCACGATTTATGATGGCAAAGATATGGGCAATTAATTAAGAGAATCTAAGAGAAAATAACCTAGGTAGAATTGTGGATTCATAGATTTGAAGGGTTTAACCTTTGATTTTAAGTAATCCCTTAGGTATAACTTATATTTGTCGACATGAATGTTTTGTTCAAGTCAAACTCAAAACGGTAATGAGGAAAAAAATATTCAATTTGGTATTTGTAAAAAGGAATGCCTTCAAAGCTATAAATCCTTCATTTGTGACTAATCTATGTCATGATTACCTTTACATACTGTTATAGAAACGTGGTAAAAATTTGGGAATTTTT